TTATAATATTAAATTATTTTATTTTATTTTATTAAAATTTAATTTAAAATTTAAAAAATTATTTAATAAATGCTAATATGTAGATTTAAAAATTGATTATATTAAAATATATAATTAATTTTTAAATTTATATATCAATATTTAATACGACAAATTTTTAAATTTTAAATTGAAATTTTAATTTTTAAAGATTAATTAAAACTTCAATTATTTTAAAAATCGAAATCAATATGCACTAATTATATATATATATATATATTAAAAAGAAATAAATAAATTTAGAGGGAAAAATTGGTGTGGAGGAGAAGAATATACCCCATGGCTAGCAGAGTGAGTGCCCAGGACAGCAGGGAAGATCCAACTGCTGCACTTAAGCTGGGACGGTCCCATCGAAGAACGTTTCCAACTCCGGTGAAGGAGGTGGCAATGCCTACAACGCCGGCAAGAAGGGAGAAGATGATGAAGAAACCCGTTGCCAAGTTTCCCATTGGGAACCACAAGGGAAAGATTCGAGCCGGAACTGACAAAACAGAAGCTGCATTTGGACAATGATATCAACAGTGATGAGTGTGTATTGAATTGCTTGTAAATTAACTTCATGATGTCTTGATTCCTGAATTACCTGTCTCATGAGTCTTTTCAATGGCATGGTTCACTACCCATGAAGCAATCACAATTACGATGAAGTAGAGCAATAGATTGAGGAATAATAGCATCAAGGCTGGTAATTGTGACCTTTGTGAAGCCATGGCTTCGAAGCTCGATAAATGGAAGATCAAGCTTGAACTGGAACTCAATAAGAAGCAATTCCTCGGGAAAGCTATATATAAGGTAGAAGTTTTTCTTCCTTCTCTAACCAAAGAATATTTTTTACTTACTTTGGTTATACAATGGAGTGCCTTCAATTCTAAGAAATGGTTTTTGTTCCTAACCCTTCCTAAGGTTTGCCTCACGGAGGAGGAAGGAATCCAGTTCATTGAAAATAAGTTCCCTGGACTGGAAGTGGGGCTTGTTTGTTCCATTGATTCTTAAAGGGAATTACTTTCCCTGAAAGTAGCCTCTTTCCATACCAGAAAGCTTAAAGAATAAAGTTTCATTGCAGCAGGCATTGTTTTAACCGAACATGGAAAAATATGAAAAGAGACAAGAATTACTGGGAAGGGTTCAAAATCAACCATGCCAAACATCATGTAAAATCCCTACAAACCGAAACTGAATCGGTAAACATTCTGATGCTGGGGATATCTTCTATCTAAGATGCATTTTAAAGACCAGCACATGAATAGACTCATTTCAGGACCTTTATTTACTTGGGATTACACCTGAAAGACCTAAAAGGAAAAGGGCAAAAACTTTCCCCTGAATGAGCTAACTAGATCCAAGTGCCAGCCTCTTTGAGCTCCCTTCAATTTTCTCTGCTAATTTAGACCTTCAAAGCCAGCTTCTGAGCAGCAAGTGCTTCAGCCTTGAGGGTTGGCTCATACAGTATTGTAGTTTCTGCCAGCAACGATGTCACAACATACGGGTCCATGTTTGACGCTGGACGCCTGTCCTCCAAGTAGCCTAGCAAAATCAAAACAAAATTATCAAAAAATTATGAGACAGTACTAAAGTTTAATTCTAGGTGTTAATGGTTTTATGAACTAAGAGTTATACAATCTTCCCTTCACAATATTAGCTAATGAAATCCTTCATTAAAATTTTGTTTGTGGTATTATTGAGGGCAGTACCTTTTCCTTTCTTCTCAGTTTCACGCCCAATACGAATTGAGCAACCACGATTAGCCACTCCCTGCAAGTCGGAAGTTTATATATTTTACAAGCAAAATAAAAATCTTATACATTACATTTCAATAATTGGATATGGATGCTCTTGAGCATACCCAAGAAAATGTGTCAATGCTTGCTGTTTCATGCTTTCCCGTCAACCTTCTCTCATTTCCTTCACCATAGGCACTAATATGCTCATTATGACGGAGTGAGAGATTCAATATTGCTTTCTTTATAACTTCAAAGCCACCATCCTCTCTCATGCTCTTTGTACTGTAAACCAAAATTAAGGCATTTTTTTCTGAAGTATTTGTTCATGACTTTGGTGGAAAGCAGGAAATCAGGTATTTCTAGTATGTAAAAGTTGCTTGCAGAAAAGTAATCAAGCCAGGCATACCTGTAATTGGTGTGGCACCCAGCACCATTCCAGTCACCCTGCAACATAAAGGAGAATTATATAACTGACCTTATTAAGTAATGGAATACCAAATACTCGGGAAAATTTTTACTTACCTCTATGGGTTTAGGATCAAGTGAGAGAACGACACCAGCTTGTTCAGTGATTCTCTGTCAGAGCAGAGACAACAAAATAAGTGATTCAATATATGACATTCTCCCATTAAGAAAATGATGATTATATAGAATACAAAAGCATTTTAGTAAAAAAGGGTAGAAGAAACTTAGGTACAAAGGCTAATGAAAACTTTACTAAGCGAAATTGTTAATGGGGAGCAATACCTCAAGAAGGTATCTTGAGCACCAGATGTGATCTCCAGCGTCAATTCCTACACTAGGACCAACTTGATACTCCCACTGCATAACAAAAATGGTACCACGTAGCAATAAGTATGATTAACAATCAAAAAGAAAAAAAAAATAGTTACTGAAGTAACTCATTCCACAACTAAGAAGAAAAATTCTAGGTGGGAGGTAAACCTGGCCTGGCATAACCTCCCCATTTGTGCCACTGATGTTGATGCCAGCATACAAACAAGCCTTGTAGTGAGCATCTGAGATGTCACGGCCAAATGACTTATCAGCTCCAGCTCCACAATAATATGGACCCTGAATTATGCATATTTGGGAGTTATTGTCGTAAAAAATATTGTCAAACTATAGATTCTTGTATTAAAAAGAACAGATTCCTCCAACTGCAGAAATCTGAACATAAATTGAGCAAGTTACCTGAGGACCAGGGTACCCTCCAACAGGCCAACCCAAAGGCCATTTCACATTTGTTTGAAGTAAGGTGTATTCTTGCTCAATCCCAAACCTAAGTTGAACAACAAAGAAGCATTGGAATCTTTCCTTTGATATGCAAAGATAGAGAAAACTAGTAATGTGTATAAAGTTGGCTATGTTTTAAACTTTTGTCGACATAAAAGGAACTTGAATTGGGATTTATATGGCTTACTTTTGTTGAATTAAAGAAACTGATAATTACATGATAATATGCAGATGAGGTGACAAAAGACACAATGGATGAATACAATTTAATTATCATAACATCAAAAGTTAAACTTAAGACCAAGATCCATACCATGGAACTTCAGCCAACACCTTTGGGTTGCTAAAAATTTCAGCAGCTCTGTGGCGCTTGTTTGTAGGAATGGGCTCACCAGCTGGTGTATATGAATCACAAATTACCTGTTTAGAATGCATAACATGACCGTGACATTAGGCATTCTATCTAATCTATCTCTTCTAAGTCTCAGTACAGACTGTACAGTTCTTGAAAGTTGATTAATTTTCCTAGCTAATACTTACCAAGATATTGTTACCTCCACGGAAAGGATCCTTGAAAATTGCTTGTGGGCTGAATAAAAATTTCAATAAAGATTCTACTTTGACAAAAAATTGAAATGTGAATAAAATGACAATTTTTTTGGAAGATCTTATTGTCTTACTATAATATAACTTCACTATCTTCACCAGGTGCTTGTCCAGTACTTGACCCATCATAGTTCCACCTGGGAAGCTCAGAGGGATGTTCAACAGGCTTTGGAATTGTCTGCAAATTTCAAAGGACAGCAGTTAAGCAGGGAAACAAGATAACATATATATATATATATATATATTAAATTGGAAATAGAATTTATATGCAGTAATATTTATCTTACTCTTGACTTGCTACGCACATCAATTCCACTTCCTCCAATCCTGTTTCAAAGCAAAACAGTGATGTTTTAGGTATGCTTACATGACACAGAGTCACCTTAAACCACTATGCAAACACTAATTTGATAACAATGAGATCAATAACTTAGCCCCTTACTCATCCAAATTAAAACTCAGAAAGGGAAAATAAATAACATCCTAAGTTCTCATTGAACACAAGAAGAAACTGCTTAGAAGTATTATTTGTAGCATAAAAAATCATGTTAGCAAAGATGGTATACCAAATGTACTCAGCAATGATGTTGTCGGTGTAAGGAGTGATGTCCAAGTTTAGTAACTTCTCCAACCTATTGATAGTTCCACTTTCAGACTTCACAGAAAGCACTCTATATTTGGCAGGGGTTTTAGCTGCTTTGTTCTGTTTCAATAGCAGAGAACTCCACATCTTGGTTGTAATGGGACTTTCACAGGTGGAGTTCTTTGGCATTCCCATCTGCCATTGTGTAGATGGTGCTGAAATCTGTGCCATTTTCACCTTCTCCTTGCTGGAAAGAAAATTCAATATACCAAGCTAATTAAATCCCAAGACATTCAAAATTAAAATCCAAAATAGTTTTCTTATGAATTGAGATAGAAATTCTAAAAATGATACAGTCCCAAAGTTAACATGCACATGATGCATCAGATGATAAGCCAAGTTACTGATCTTTGGGGTTCTTTTTATTTATTTCTATTTAACCCAAAACCTGAAAGGCTGTCCAAATAATGAACTGCAAAAGTGCAATGCCTATAACTTTCACAATAAATCTGACTTTGTTAAATGGCATCTACTTTTACTATAATCAGAATTATGACTCATGATTAGAATATGATTAAAATCTAAGTAATAGAAAGGTTAAATGCCAATTCTAGTCCCTCAACTTTAGAGTTTTGCACAATTTTTATCCTTCAACTTTTTTTACACTTTTTTCATCCTTAATTTTGAAAAATGCACATTTTTTGTCATCCTATAGTTAATCCATTGAATCTATCCAAATGTGCATATTTTTAATTCCTAAACTTATAATATATGCACACTTTTAGCTCTTAAACTTATAATACCGATGATTAAAAATGTGAATATATAGATAGATTTAACTTATTAGAGACAAAAAAGTACATTTGTTAGAATTGAGGGAAGTGTTTAAAATAGTTGAGAGATAAAACTATCCAAAACCTTAAAATTGAGAGATTAAAATTAGCATTTAACCTAAGAGAAAACCATTAAAATAATAAATATAATGTTCCTTTTGCTCTTTCTTTTCACCTTTTTACATTTTTAGAAAAACTTTTATAAACACACATACAAGGTGGGGGTACAGTGGACTCTAGAACAAGCATCCTGGTAAATTAGAGGAGTAGCATCCGGGGAGCCTATTTCTCTGGAATCTTTTGCCTGGATAGAAGGGAATTCAAGCAAAATTGGACTCTTCTCCATTTCAGTTACTTTGTCTGGCAGGGCAGTTACGAAATTTTGTCCCCTATCAAAGTTTCTCCTCTTTTGGAATGACTAAAATGCCCTTAGGAAACTCCAAAAAAAGAAAAGAAAAAGAAAAAGGAGCCTGAAAGACTTTCTCCAATTCCAATAGAATGCTGCTGCATGATGCAGCCAAAAATCCGAACTTTACATCCCTAGATAGTGGATATCAAGCAGAAACCATAATAGAATTTCAAGGATCATGCCCAGTTCTGTCAGTAAAAGGAACATTGGAAGGCTGTTTGGAGAATGTCAAGCACAAAACACAAGGCCAAATGGCTAACCACAAATCCACGAGTCCAAAGTTCATTCCTTTTCCTGTAATAGTAGCAGAGGAAACAGAGACTAGACACTGAGATGAACAGAGAACATACCTGGGGAACTGCCGGAAACTGGACTGATCTGCAGAAACTGGAATGTGGCTATGGCCGGAATTTGCTGTTTGAGGGGACAGAAGTGGAGAAGAAGGGGGAAGAAAATGGTGAAACAGAGGAAGAAATATAAAGAGACGAAGTGGGTGTTTTAGGAAGAAGCCTAGTCTAGTAATTAACTAATTATGCAATGGGTTTGTTGGCTTTTGCTAAACAGATAGGGGTATGGTATGAGTGGAGGAAAATGGGTTTTGGTCTCTTTGGTGACACCAAGAGGAGCTTGGGACTACTGTTGAATATTTAAGATAAAGTACTCTCTTTCTTCATCTCACCCTCCATGGCTCAATCTACCATGTGTAGAAACAGAAACTGAACAATCATTTATTATGTTTATTTGGGAATTAGGACGATCCGGTCAATGTTTTTTGTTTAGCTTTTTGTTGATTGGGAGAAAAAAGATCAATGTTTAGCCGGCCAAAAAGAAATAATCAATGTTTGGTTTAGGGCCTTGAATTTAATATACTTTCTTTGGAACAAGAAGGCATGGACGATGAACATGGAAATTGGGCTATGTTCATGCTCTTTCAAGAGAAAATGTCAGCAGATATTAAACTACAAAGATTTATTGGTAAAGTCAATTAACTTTTCGTTCAGTGGAAGCTGGCTCAAATACGATTTCCTGTAAGTGCATTTTGCCCCTTTTTATTTTTCTTTTTTTAAGGGCATGTTTGGTGCAGCTCCTAAGAGTTTCAGATTTTATACACTATTTATGTCTCATGAATTTAAATTTTTTTTTTAAAAACTTACACTTTTAAATATTTTTTTAATCTCAAAAAGCTCTTAAACAGTAAAAGTTCAAAAGTTTCAAATCCAAACTTTTCATAAACTCTCTTTTTACTTACTTTT